TATGTTTATAAACAACTGTTATATTTGCATTTATAAAATGTAGGTGGCTGCCACTTTAGACGAATTTACCATGATTTAACAATTTATACTATATCAAATTAAAGATATTTTAATGCTCTTTTAGGCTAATATAGCTCGGTGTATGATTATGTACATTTTTTTAGTAAAACATGTGTTTTCACTAGAAATATATATTTTTTTCTATTAAATAATTTTTCTAAAAATGTATCCGCATAAAGTATGTATATAGATGTGCGTATTAAAAGAAGAGATTTTATTTGTCTTTAACCTTTTCAGCAAGGTCGTTATTTTTTTTTTTAGAGATTTATATTTATAGTATAAAAATAAGAATCTGGGGATAGTAATTCCAAAATTAGTGAAGGTATAAATTAATACGGTTTTGAAGGCCAAAACTTTTTAAAGGCCAATTAAAGTCCGTTTAGCGGCATAAAGGTTTAAAAAATCGGATATAACGCGATTTAGCGGGTGCCTAAAAAAGTTTTTTTTATACCAAAAATTTTTCGCTGTTCGTAGTGCCGTGTAGCTTCATCGACTGCGTCCTGCTAGTCTCTGTAGCTTCATCCACTGCGTCCTGCTAGTCCCAGGCCACCACACGGGCGCTGCATAGTTTAGAACCGGCCGGCCAATTGCCTTGTATGTTGCCAACAACGTTTCTTCATCCCCTTCTACCCCAAGTGCTGCCGGCCAGCGACTTGAGGACATTGTTGCGGCTCTGTACTTTATTGGCAATTACGACTGTATGCGCCGAGAAAGAGAGCAGACTGTCGAAGGTAACTCCGACAATTTTCGGGTTACTCACCGTCGTAGAACAGTCGCTTCTGCAGGAAAGTTCGGACGTGGATCCTTAATACATCCTGCGGTGATGAAGCGAGCTGCAGCAGCAGTGACAACCCTGCGGAATTTACGTTCACCTATGTGGACGTCGGTTGGCATGGGTAGTGCAGTGAAGGCGCTTTCAATAACATCCGCTAAGCCCTTCCAGTCAGCTTTGGAAAAGTTGAGTGATCCGCGGAAGCAAAGTCGGCAGGTTTATCAATCGAGATGACTATGGGCAGATGGTCTGATGCTAGGGTCAGCATAGGTCGCCAGGATACGCTGTTTATCGTGGTGCGCGTTAAAGTCACCCACTACCATACGGTTTTCACCTCTGAGTAGCGCACCTATTTCAGGGTGATATCCTGGCGGGCAGCTGGTGACAGGGGTATGTATACGTTAAATATTTCGAGCTCAACTTCGCCTGGCCGTATAGCAATACCCTGACATTCTAGGATGGTATGCCTGCGGTCGATGTCTGCTTCAATAAGACGACACTGCACGGTGCAGTGCGTGATGAACGCTAAACCTCCACCATTGTCTCGCTCGCGATCTCGACGGTGCACGTTGTATCCGGCGCAATTCAACAAGGTTGAATTGCCGTGCAACTTCGTCTCTTGGACCGCAGCTATTAATATTCCATGCCTTCCCATAAAGACAGTTATCTCCTCGATCTTGCTCTGGAGTCCGTTACAGTTAAATTGTAGCACCTTTGTGTGCCTTGGGAGACCTATTGTTATGTGTGGTGTTAAAGGAGTTGTGTTGCCTGCCGACTCCCTGCTGCACGTGCTGCATAAGGGGGTGCTGACTTGTGGTGGTGGTTGGCGGCGTCGCGGGGGAGGTATGCGACTGGGCAGCACAGCAGGGGCCCACATAGTCACACGCCCAATCACGCGTGCCGCGAAGTCCTGAGCATGCCCTAAACTGGCACCAGCCAAGGCAGGAGTTGCACTTGACTGATGTCACGTTACGGTATATTATTCTGGACTGACAAACCGAGCAGATTGTTGCAGGGACTAGGAGTTGCCGGCGGAGGTGTGTGGGTGCTATTGGGTTTGTGTGTGTATCTATTGTTGTGTTGTGTTGGGGTGGGGGTGTGTTGGTTTTGTGCTGCGCGGGCGGGTGGCGGTTTGCCGTGGAGGCGGTCCGGTTCGTACAGCATGGGGCCACGAACGACGTGGTCCATTGCCGGTGTGTACGTAGGCCCGAGCAGTTGCGGGGGTGACTCCACCCGTCACAGGCATTGCACCTGACCGAGGTGGAGTTTGTATGCAGTCGTCTCTGGCATACGCAGCAGGTGTAAGTTTCTGGCCCTGGGTTTGGCTCAATGCCAGCCCTGAGCAGAAGGGTACGGAGCAGATGCAGCCCTAGAATAGAGAAACGTTCGACGGATTTCTTCGACCTAAACGGGGTTAGATCGCCGAAACACCAACCCTTGGTCGGGTAAAACCCCCCGAGTCATTCCGGTACGTAGAACTGGCTGTCGTGGGAACGTCTCATATGTCGTGATACGGCTTAGTGTTTATGCTATTCCTAGATAGCATCAATCAATATGCATACGGTTGCTTGAGTCAATGTACAATAAAATAATGTGTTAAATGATTGTATACAATAGCCTCTGTCTAATCGACACATTCTTTATTGAAGTACATATGTACATACATTGACAAATTTACATATATATAAAACACTTACTAATATAAAAATACATAGATACACATATTGCCCAACATAATTAACTCAACTAAAATTATAATGACCATACCGAAAATAGGAATTTTTTAAATATCAGTTTCGGTGGACTCACTGGATTCTGGCAATTGAACAAATTTCTGAAGAGTGATAATATCTTTGCTCTTTGATCTACTTCTTGGATGCCCCGCATGAACAGCTACAATTTCTTCAGAATAAGATCCTAAGCTTTCACTATAGTTGTGTTTTGTATAAGGTTTCCTGGACTTTTTTTGAGCTGGGAATGATTGTTTTTGATTTACCCTAAATGCACTCTGTTTTGAGTCGGATTCAGTATCATTTGTGTATGTGGAATGTGTGTGCGCCTTTCCCTCTGGAGCATTTTCTACACTGTCGAAGTTTTTACGAGAATTATAGTTTCCTATTAAAATAAAAAAGATACAACATAATTTTTTTAAACCTAAAGCGTGATGTCTTACCTGTCGGTCCAAAAGCACTTTTGATTGCATTTCTACCTTTGGTATTTTTTTTACGAAGACTATTTCTAAGTAATGGGGGCCGTAATTTTTTTCCATTGGTTACATAGTGTTTTACATGTCTATTTTCTTTGAAATTCCCATAATTCGCTCGTATTGTAGGCGAGCGTGTGCCAGCCTCTAAACTATTATTATCGGAAACGAGGTTATCTTGGGTAAGTTCTGTTTCGTTCAAGTCAACAGAATTTAAATTTCCAATATTGCTTTCAGTATCCGAAAAATTTAATTTATCCGCCAGGTGGTCGCAATTGTCTTCTTCATCCTGGTCAATGATTTCAATCTAAAATTAAGTATATTCGATTTAAATCAAGTTTTGTATTGCATACTACATACAAACCTCTTCAGTAACCGACCCACGAAGCATTATTTCCGGTCCACCTCCGTAAATTCCATAGAAAAATCGCCATAAAAGAGCATTCACCTGAGCATAGTCAGAACCCGGCCGCACTTGTCGTATTGTAGACGTTTGATTCGCATCTGTCGTCAGAACAATGTTAGCATTAGAAATAGGACCTGGTTCCTTATGGGTAACACCGCGGGCAAATTGCTGCCATTTTCGTAACCATGGCATTGATATGGCATATATTGCACCACAGTCAGGTTCTGCATCCATGCCTGTAAATTTTGTGAACACACATAGTTCGTAAATCTGACGTCTTTTTAAAGCTTCAGCTGCTCTTTTGCAAATTTCACATTCAAACAGCATATTTATCGCTGGACCGCCACCAAATGTGCAATATAGAAAGTCCCATAAGGGTTGAGATATTGGTACAGCGATCTGATCAAGCAAAGCCATCTTTGACTGTAAGAGACCACCATGGGAACATAGTATTGTCCAGTTATTAATTGGTCCAGGCTCTGCAAACGTACTAAATCTAGATAACCACTCCCGCGCTACGTAAAACCGTATTTCTGCTGTGTGTACGGGATTTAGAACAGATATCTCGTTTGCTTTCGCTCGTATAAAATCCATTTGCGGGTTATGTTTTCTATAAAAAATTACATAAGCTTGACAATTCTGAATAGCGCTGGGTGGTACTTCCGTAACGTGTTGATCATCATATTGATACCAACGATCTGTAACAGGATTGCGCGCAAAGCAGGTATAGTGACCACCACCTACTGTGCCATGATGGCAAATCACAGAAACCAAATTATAAGAAGTGACAGACGATTTACAATCTTTATGTAAATATTGTTTCATATCAAACCCTTCCAGTGGAAATTGAACCGGCGAAGATATTTTCGAGCTATACGACAGGTCATGTCGAAATCTTTTCAGATGGATGCATAGTACCTCAGGCAGTTCCAGAATTTGTGAGTACTTAATCCCAGTCCTTAGTTTATTACATCTTTCGCAACTAATAAATAAAAATTAATATTTTTTATAATTGATCAGAAATATTTAAATTCATAAATACCTATACATGTTGTCGCCCTTGAGTTCGTCTGCACTAAAAAAACTTGACATGCAGTCATATAACGTTACGGAAGGACCCCATAACCAAGAACGAAATAGTTTCCAAAACCAGGAAAACCAGCCATCTGAATTATTTGGTGCCAAAGTGTCGATTGAATTAAGACTTTGGGCACTTAAACTGTGGGTTTGATGAATCATATTTAAGTAATCCCGGTTTGGAATGGGGAGCGATAGATCCTGGAAAGTTTCTTCTCGTGTCGATATCCGATCGCAAGTTAGGCATTGCACTGAGGAAAGTAACTTTCCATCAAATATATCACTTATAATAGAATGAACGACTGCTTGTGGCTGAGATGAACTTGAATGCGTTTTTTTTTGGTCTTCGGTTTCGTTCTGAATTATTATAATGTAATTGTCCCTTGAGTTGGGTCGAATGTTGAGAAAGGCTACTATCACATGTTTCATATTCAGAGTCAGAAACGGAACTACATTGAGACACAGAGTCTCTTTCGGCGTTCTCCTCTGATGTATGCATTTTAGCTACTGCATCTCTAGCCCGTGAGATTATCGGTAATATAGGGCTATTTTCCTTTAATTCCTCATGCAATTGATCCATAAAACAACGTAAAAATTCCTGGGTATCATGTTGCTGAAAGCCACGAAACATCGGGTGGACGCTTCGAATTCCATACAATATTCCCCGAGGTGCAATGTAATCTTAAAATTCTTTGAAATATCACAAAATATTTAAAGGTAAATTAACGTTCCCTCACCTTTACTAAAACCATTTCTGCACCATATATCATGCATTAAACGCTGGTAACTTTTAGCGAGACCGACTTTATTGCGACTAGAGCTTTGTTCAACAATATGCTCCACTAAATCACTGCAATTAAGGAAGTAATGTGTCATAGGCTGCACGTTACTAAGAGCTTGAAGAGCAGAGTTCATGTAACAAGTATTAGCGATGTTTTGCAACCCAACCAACCCCGTAGTGACTGTTGGAATCTGCTCAGTATCTTCTTCCTCACCATCATTTCCAGCACTGTTATCATTTTCATCTCTTGGCATTACGACTGTGGATCGCATAGCCGTTAAGAAAGGATCTTCTGTCAAAGTTGGCTTCGCGTCAATAAAAACTTCTCGTTCACATAAATAACACCACAGCCTCTGGGATGACATGTTCATGTGAAGGCAATGGCAGTTGTTCAGTTGAAAATGTTCAGTGCTGTGGTCATTCGCTTGCTCAGAGCACCCGACGCGTAAACAATTGCGTTGCAGACAGATCCATAAATTCGGTCCCGAATAATCGCAATCCGCACAAGTCTTTACCTGTTCCAAATACCAAATTTTGTCATCGTTAAAACACCAAAGGGACTCTGCACAGACGTATGCAATAAATAATTTCTTACCTTTTCAAGCTTCTTTATCTCCAAAACATTCTGATTGCCGATATGTGAGCACATCTTACTCCTTTTCTGTGCCATTATTCAATATCAACACTCGCAAATGGAATGAAATGCATGAAAAACAATGCAAATTCCTTCCGAATTTCGCAAATCCTCCTGCACGCAAATGAACGTCCAATCAGACCAAGGATGCCACATTTTATGGCTACTTGTCATCTTCTGCAGAGTGACCATCTCACTTAATTCAAAACTTTAATGCAGCGTTTCTGCTGCATTTAAATTGCAACATTTAAGCAGTGGGTAATTCTCTAGGGTGGGGTAACAACCCCTAAAAAAGGTGCGGAAAAGTCGGGAGGGGTACCAAACGACGCGTTTCGGCCCCCCTAATAACAATCCGGAGGGGGAGGGCTAATATTATTAACCATTTAAAAGTTATGAACAAAAAACTTGTTAAATTTCGTTGTTTTCTATGGGCAATTACACCGACAAAGATTCACTAAATCACCTGTTCTCACTTATTAAACACTATTAAAATATATAATTAAACTTATTTATTAAAGAAACACATAGTTTTATCAACCTAAGATAGATTATTTTGTTATTAAAAAGAAGTTGACAATCTTTGCGAGCTGAAACGCGAGATTCCAAAATAGCTATAGTGCTGCCACTGTATTAGTATTTCGTAATAATTCACTTTTCCTTATGAGCTGTGTGCACTGTTCAATGCTTTTCGGTATCTTCTTTCGTTTAATATATATATAAATAATAAATCGGGCGATTTTTTATTACAAATTTTCGCCTGCGTCGCTTTTTTCATAAAAATCAATACTTCGATAAATAATGAAAATTTTTAATAAAAAATCGCGCGATTTTTTATTAAAAATTTTCGCCCGCGGCGCTTTTTCCATAAAAATCAATACCTCGATAAATAATGAAAATTTTTAATAAAAAACCGCGCGATGGTATAGCGAAATTTGCTATTATATTTTGGTTACAATATCTTATTTAGATGAAAGTAAAAAGAAGAAGAAGTGTATAGTGTAAACTGAGTATAATAGCGCAAATGAAATGTGAAATAAAGTGGCAATACCAGCGATTTGAGGTTATAATAATTTTAGCAACGCGCAAAGTTTGTTTACTCTGTTTTATTAACGAAATATATAAAATAAAAGTGAATAAATGATTTGGTTTGCATAAAATAATAACCGGAAACGTTTTAGTAGTGTTTTAAAAGTGGAAACTGGTGATTTAGTGCATTTTTGACGTGGTAATTGCTCATAGAAAACAACGAAATTTAACAAAAGTTTTTTGATCATAACTTTTAAATGGTTAATAATGTTACCTCCCCCCCCTCCGGATTGTTATTAGGGGGGCCGAAACGCGTCGTTTGGTACCCCTCCCGACTTTTCCGCACCTTTTTTTAGGGGTTGTTACCCCACCCTAGAGAATTACCTTTTTTCCTGTATTCAACAGTTGCTCGTTTGGAAATCTAATTTGCATACATTTGATGCCAATTGCTCGCAACAAACAAGCCAGTTATCAAAGAGCCCAAATTGATTTTAGTCATGCAACAGCTCCACATAACTCCGCCATAGCCACACCAGTTGCTGGAGTACCAAAAAGCTGTGATGACAGTATTTTAATTGTTCCACGACAATCGGTGGCATATGGAATGCGTGATGGAAATTTTCTGGTGCTTGATAGCCAATATACAACAAGAGTGTGGTGTGATAGTATTTTTTCTTAAATTTCCATCTTTTATTTGCAGTTACATTAAGAAGCTCATAGAGGACAGAGCGGTTGGTGAGGAAGGTGTCGAGTTACTGCAGTACTGCAACTGGGAAAATCCGCATTTCGCACGTGCCCCACTCGTATGGAGTAGTAGGAATGTCAAAAGGCTGGTTTTAGTATAATGCGGCATTCGCAGCATACCCTCACTGGCGCCGAGCCGTTGAAGAAATTTTGGATAAATAAACGTGCAAGAAATAGTTCCGATACTAGCACGTCCATATTCTTGTTAAGGGTCATCAAAAAATTCCTTGTGTTGTAAATAATAAAGGGAATGCCGGATTATACTAAAGCCAGCTTCCCGACATAAACTACTATTCCATACGAACACAGAAATATAAATGTATTCAAAACTAAATAACTCAAATCGAATTGGATTGCATTTGCATAATATACCTAATATTGGAATCTGTTTTGATCGTAAAAAATACAACTTGCAATCGTTTAGATTATAGTTTTGAAAGAAATTGATTGCAATCGTAAATTGTGTAAAAATTGTTAATAACAATCTGCCTTAAATTTATTTTCCCCATGTAACGGTTATAAAATACGTTAAATCCGCACTATCTACATTAACAAAAAATATACATTGGAATATTTAAAATAAAACGATTCATATTTATTTTCTAATAAGAATTGTTTCTTAATTGAAAGTATTTAATACTAATATAATGTAGTGGTTAATGTTTTAAAATGAATTCGCAATATGTCCGCAGCTCAGGTTGATTTGAAGAAATCCGTTAAAATTTTTCGAATTACATCTACTTGAATACAGGATAGGCAGGGTTGCATACAAATGGTAGTTCCGTAAATATTTAAAATATGTTAGTTCATTCAATATTTGCATCTGGGCCAATAAATAATAACAAATATAGCCGAAAAAAACAAAGTTTCGATTAAAACGAGTTTTTATAACCCCCCATAATTCCGATTAATTTTAAATTCGAAAATAACGATATTTTTCCATGGAGAGGTATTTTTTTAATATACCTTGTTTATACCTACACAAAAACCGGATTACCGAAAAACCAATTGGACTCGACATGTATTTCTTTACAGCATTTATCCCCCCTGTCTTTATAGCGCACTCGATAAAGTCTTATTCAAAAGTAAACAAAATCTGCTATTTTTAAACGACATTTTTTTAATAAATAATTTGCGCGGTTGACCGAAGCGGAAACAAACAATAATTGTAATTTATTATAACAATAATTAGAATTTAAAACGGGCTGTATAAAGAAAACTAGCCTATTGTCACTTCACTTTCCAATGGTGCTGATTGCTGCAAGAATTATTTAGCGATTTAGAGCATAATCAACACAATATATGCACATAAATATGTATTATTTCACAGATCTCAGGGTCAGCTTAGAAATACGTCACCAAAATTATATAAAATTTAAGTAGGAATTATTTTTATTTATAACGTAAAAGCGCTATCTGACCCAATCTGATAAGTATATTTCCCCTAAAGTTAACCCATTTTATTTAATTTGTCTCTCGTGAAAATATATATTTTATTTAAAATTTTCAGATATGTACATATATTTTAAATTTTTGCTTTAATTTTTGTCTCCTTTTAATTATTAATTAGATACCTTAAGATTAAAATAAGCTTAAAACGAAACAGCACAGCAACCCTTTTCTGTTCATCTTGAGAACACAAAACCCTCTTTTGTTAAAATTCGGCGCTGCACAAAATCCTGGCTTTTATATTTTCCAACAAAATACCACTTCGCAACCCTGGATTTTCACGAAGCGTTTCATTCGGGTCGTAGTTTTGCTACTTCGGGCCATTCGGTGTTGTATGCCATATTGGCTGCCATATTGTTCACACTGTCATCGCCATATTGAACAACCTGTCAACTATCTGTCAACCCTAAGATATCTCACTTGTATTATTCTACAATGATATTGTCAGATCTTGTATAGTTGGATCATGCATTAAACCATGTTCGAATCGTTGAAATTTTGGAGGATCACAGGGTTGCTTTTAGCATTTAGATTAATCTAGAAGAAGAATTCTTAATGCAAAAATGGAGTTGCATTTAGTTGCATTTAGGTACGAATTTTGTATGGATAAATGTACATTCAGAGTAGTATTTAGAGCTAAATGCGCTAAATGTGCTTTTACGCGTAAGCAAAAACAGCCCATAACCAAGAAACTTCAAAAAAATATTTGTACAACCTTGGAGAAATTCATAGTTCTCAAGTTGATATCACATATCATTCTCCAGCTCATCTCTAAAGCACGCGGAGATACGTAAAAAGTGATAGAGAAACGAATTTTTAATTATGAAGTGAAAAACTAAAACGATGTTAAGAGGAAAATTACCAACAAAAAGCAAATAATCTTCAAAGCATCTTCAAATAATCTTCAAAGAAAATAAAACGCGAAGGGAATCAAGTGGCAGAATTACTGTCGGACTGTATACTGTGAAGTGAATTATTGTAATACGACATTGATTAACTACATAATACGAAAGGAGTAATAAAATGAAAAATTAATATTTAAATTTATCTATGTATGTCGTCCGCTGTGGTGTAGTGGTAAGCAGTGCCCGCTTCCACTCCGCTGCTCTGGGTTCAAACCCTGGTCAAAGCAACATCGCAAAAATATAGAAAAAAGTTTTTTCTTAACAGCGGTCGTCCCTCGGCAGGCAATGGCAAAAATCCGAGTGTATTTCTGCCATGAAAAACCGCTTCTCGTAAAAATACAATCGCCGTTCGGAGTCGGCGTAATACTGTAGGTCCCTGCGCTTTGTGTGACAACATCAAGGCGCACGCCACACTAAGATATGTGTAAGCGCCAATCTATTATTATTATTATTATGTCATTCCAATCAAAAAGGTATATAAGTTATTTTACTAATTCAATTTCAGTATTTCCAATTGGAGAATCACATTGGAGTTCAAGTTGAGAACTAGCATTTTCTCAACTTGAGAAACAGTCCTATTTTCATAAAAAAAATGCTCTTTTTGTTGAGAACGCTATGATCCTCCACTTGAGGTACTGTTGAGAAACAACGTTGGAGATTTGAAAAATACCTTAGGCAAAGAACATAGAGACGCGACAAGACATATTCTGATAATAGCGAAGGAAGAGACAAGAAACGTCAAAACATAGTGAAGCAACCATCAGCTCAGAAAGCAACGAAAACAATTTTTTTGTTTGTTTCCGTCGCTATGCTCTTTGTCGCTTTCTTCGCTTTTCGCTTCACTGTGTGCTACCACATTGAAAAATAAAGGTTTGTTTTTGTCGCTACTATCCGAAAATGGCTTGTCGCTCTCTTTGTCGCGTCACTATGTTCTTTGCTTTAGTTCTCAACTTAACCTCAAGTTGAGTTCAAACAAAAATTTTTGTTGGGTTCGTACAGAGCTTCTTAAAGTGTGTTCCGCGGAACCCAAGGGT